CGGCACCTTTCTCTAGCTAACCTCGTCAAAAGAATAGCCAAGTATGCTGCTGCTGCTGCTGCTGCTGCTGTTGCTGCTGCTGCTGTTGCTGCTGCTGGTGGTGGTGATGGTGCTGGTGGTTGTTGTGGTGGTGGTGGGGTTGGTTTGGTGTTGCTGCTGCTGCTGCTGCTGCTGCTGCTGCGGCACCTTTCTCTAGCTAACCTCGTCAAAAGAATAGCCAAGTATGTTGCTGCTGCTGCTGCTGCTGCTGCTGCTGCTGCTGCTGTTGCTGGTGGTGGTTCTGGCGGTACTGGTGGTGGTGGTGGTGGGGTTGGTTTGGTGTTGCTGCTGCTGCTGCTGCTGCTGCTGCTGCTGGTGGTGGTGGTGGTGGTGGTGGTGCATATGTGAATATACAGAAATTCTTGAGGGTTTAGGGTTTAGGGTTTAGGGTTTGTATGCAACCACAACCAGCACCTGCTGGCTCTGAAGATATGTGAATATCCAGAGGGTTTAGGGTTTAGGGTTTAGGGTTTAGAGTTTGTATGCAACCCCAACCAGCACCTGCTGGCTCAAAAGATTCTTGAGGGTTTAGGGTTTAGGGTTTAGGGTTTAGGGTTTGTGTGCAGCCGGAACGAGCACCTAGTGGCTCTAAAGATACGTGAAAACACAGAAATTCTCGAGGGTCTAGGGTTTAGGGTTTAGGGTTTAGGGTTTAGGGTTTGTGTGCAGCCGGAACGAGCACCTACTGGCTCTGAAGATATGTGAATATACGGGTTTATCTTCCCGGGAGGTTTTTGTGTTTTGGTGTCTATCGAAGATATCTTTTGCTGCTGCGTTGACGGATGAGGAGCTAGCTGAGGCTGTATGCAGCAGACTGCATGCAGCAGCAGCAATACGTCCTGCTGCTGCTGCTGCTGCTGCTGCTGCTGCTGCTAGAGCTGCTGCTGCTGCTGCTGCAGCAGAAGCAGCAGCTACTGCAGCAGCAGCAGCAGCAGGGGGAGGGGAGCAAAACCAGCAGCAGGATAGATGTTTATATAAACCAAACTCTTTCGTGGGTGTGCAGCAACGCATGCAGCTGCAGCAGCAGCAGCAGCAGCTGCTGCTGCTGCAGCAGCAGCTGCTGCAGCAACCACTACCTTTTGCTAGACTGGCGCTTTGTGCTGCTCAAGCGGGCCGCCCCGTCCTGGCTACGCGTCTTGCTGCCTTCGAGAAAGAACCCAAGGTAAACCCTAAACCCTAAACCCTAAACCCTAAACCCTAAATCCTAGATGGTGGAGGAGCTGGTGCTGCTGTTGCTGCTGCTGATGATACTGCTGCTGCTGTTTGTCATGCTGGTGCTGGTTGGATTTGGTGGGTTTGCTGCTGCTGTTGTAGTTGTTGCTGCTGCTGCTGTTGCTGCTGTTGCTGCTGCTGCTGCTGTTGCTGCTGCTGCAGTTGCTGCTGCTGTTGCTGCTGCCGCCGCGACTGCATGCAATTGCTTTTGCTGCCTCTATAACAGCTACCGTTGCTATT